ACTCTGTTTTTTTTTTCTCAGGTAAGATTTCGACAGACGATGACAGAAGAAAAGCAGATGACGTCCCATACCAATCTATTTATTTTACTAAAAAAGTTTCTAATAATTTTTAAGTTAACAATGGATGGGTTTAAATATAAATTCGTCATGCGTCGTCACTTGTTGTTTTTAACCAGTTTTATTGGTTTATTTCAAAAATGACAGATCGTATTTCAATTTAATTGGTTTGATGGAACGATGAATGACAAACGGACGCCGATGCGTATGAACTCGCCTTTAGATTTTTGACGTTTGTCAAAGTCTTGCCAAATTATAGGTTATAATTTTTATCAAATAACTTTTGTCAAATACCCTGCGTTTTGGAAGATGATGCATTTTGATTCGTGTTATTACGTGTGTTTTGTGTCTTTTGAAGTCAAGTGGAGGAAAAATCGAGTGAAAATTAACTGTAGAACCCAGAGCACAGTTTATGGTTAATACTCGCTGCCCAGGCAGAAAGTCTTATACAGATACACCAATAAAGTTACTGTCAATAAAGTTCGTATACCATCTCGTCGTAGATAAGTGCATCTCGAATATGGTAGAAGGACCATACTAAATACATTCTAAAAACTGGAGTAGCTGTAAAATATCGACATCGCACGATAGGTAAATAATGGATTTTAGTACTGCAGAAAAATAATGTCAAAAGGTACTGGTTTAAAAAAATTAAGATTAAAGTTAATTAATCAACCTGTGAGGTATAAAATTTGGTAAGTGTTATTATTAATAAAATAGTTTGTTTTATTTATTCCTGCGGAATATTACAAATTTGTATTTGTACATAAGTTATATTGATAAATATAATCATAAATGCGGGAAGTTTCATAAAGCTTGAAAGTAAGAAATAGTTCTTTTTTATATTTTTTGGTATGTGGTGTCTTGTTTTTGTTTGTTTTGTATTAACACATACCGTTTTTTATTAAATAAAATAACTCTATTACATTTTTTCAGTTTTATACTTTATACAGTTCTTTTCACAATATGTTGAAGTTACTTGTCAGTCAAATTTTAAATACATATATTAATTTCCTGCTATGCGTTCCAGTTGTACCAACTTATTTCTTTGTAAAATAAAATAAACTACTTTGAAATTAAAATGACAGACACATCTATCACTGTCAAGGATCTTCTCGTTGGACAGACTATATACCGAAGGCAAAGGAGTACGACAGGGAGACGCAATATCCCCAAAGATGTTTACAGCAACACTAGAAGAAATCTTCCGCCAACTCGACTGAAAAACAAAGGATTAGGAATAGATGGAGAATATCTTAACCATCTAAGATTCACTGATGATATAGTCCTAATTGCCAATAGTCCTGAATAACTACAAGCACAAATAAACGAACTAAATACAGCCAGCAATAAAATGGTTAACAAAATAACACCAACACTGGAAAAAGTAGAAGAATATTTATATTTGGAGCAACTAATACCCAGCTCGGGATCTCTACTACCAGAAATTAACAGAAGAATTAAGTTAGCATGTATAACAACTAAAGAAGAAAACATTCTGCCAATGTGTACTACTAGTTATGACCTATGCATGCGAAACCTGGACACTTAAAACAGCATCTTGTAAGAGATGTTAATGTTTTTTACTAAGTTTAGTTGCTTACTTCATAAGGATAAGGAAACTGCAGGTTGCACACCGCTCAATGGAACGAAATATGCTGGGAATAACCAAGTAAATGAATAGAGTGGATTCGACAAAAGACCCAGGTAATAGATGTCATCCACAGAATCAAATCCTTCATCCTCCCTAGTGGCAATGGGCAGGACATCTGGCAAGAAGGACGGACCACAGATGGGCCACAAAAATTACAGCATGAAAAAAAAAACTACAGGAAATTAAGAGACCTAGAAGAAAAGCAAACCTGAGATGGGACCATGTTTTTAGGAAATTATCAGGGATAACTTGGGTCCGCACAGCCAACAATAGTATTAATGTTACAATGGGCCCAATTACAAAGAGAGTATCTAAATATGTTAGGGAGGCTACACCATAATTGGAAATGGTTGAATAAGCTGAAAATGATGATAATACAACCATAAAAATAAAGATATTTTTATATACTTTAGTAGTGATGTAAAGTCAAGTTTAATAATCTAAGAAACAAGATAAAAGAAGATCTAAAAAACCGAAATTAAAAAAAATAAACGGAAGAGAATCAATAATTTCTGAAATAAGTCAATTATTCTAAAAAATAAACTTAAACGAAATAAAACTTATAATTTATAAGTATTTTATTTAATTAACATAACAATCATAATGAACTTACTTTTCTATGACCTAGCAATAACAGTTAAAGGCAAAGGGTTCGAAGATATCGAGGAGTAACTAGAAAACGCCCTAAAAACAATGTCAGCTTATTACAAAAAGAATTCTTTAAAACCCAACCCCACCAAAACTAAAGTGAGTGCATTCCACCTGAATTCGAGACAGGCGACCAGCAGACTTAATGTCACATGGGACGGGACGCCACTAGAACACACAGATAAGCCTACCTATCTTGGCGTTGTGCTGGACAGAACATTGACTTACAAATATCACTGCGAAAAAACACGCAAAAAAGTAGAAGCACGAAATTCCCTTATAAGGAAGCTGAGCAATAGTAAATGGGGAGCCAAACCTATCGTGGTCAGAACTTCTGCTCAAGCTCTATGTTTCTCAACTGCAGTGTAGATGTGTCCATGCAAAAAGATGAACATCAGCCTGAATGAAACATGCAGAATAGCGACAGGTTGTATGAAACCCACCCCCTTAGAAAACCTTTACAAGGCCGCAGGTTTTACAAGCCCCGATTTACGCAGAAAAGCTCATGAACATACTGAGACGCTAAAACAAACCTTTGATACTCGTCACTCAATTTTTGGTCAAGAGTGCGGCACAGGTAGACTTAAATTCAGACGCCGTGCCGTTTCCTAAGCCACCCCCTGGATGAACCTCCCTCCCACTACCCACTAAGAGAGGACCCACCAAATGGTGTTTCTAGCCACTGGAAAACCTGGAGAACGCTCAACCGAATCAGAACTGGAGTGGCCCCAGTAAGATCCAATTTGATCAAATGGGGTTTGCTGGACAGAAATGACGACAAATGCGACTGCGGTGACTTTCTGGACATGGAACATCTTCTTCAATGTCCTGCGTGCCCCCATAGATGTACTCTCAATGACCTATGGCTAGCTAAACGGAAAGCATTGGACGTAGCCCATTACTGGGTTAATAAACTAATATAATCCGGACACGAAAAAGTAAAGTAAGTGCACCCCAGAAGCATGTCTATGAGATTTCTGTCGAGAATAAAAAATTGGATATTTTTTATTTTTAGTTAAAAACCGTAATATCTTGATAATATAGCGACATAGGTAGGTAGTAAATTAAATTTAAAAGAACAAAAATCCAGAGAAAATGCAGTGTTTTTCTAAATTTGAGCAAAAATCAGCATTTTTTTCTATTTTTAAAGTAAAATAACTTGGGTTATTTTGGACTTATTTGAAAAACGGTAAAGAGAATATTTGTGCTTTTTTATCGAGATCTACCAGCTCCGAAAATACATACATGCACTTATTTAAGACTAACCCTGTATAAGAAAAATAGACATATTGTAAAAAACTAAATACAGAATTAAGTGAGATTTACTTAAAACTAAAGCTAGAATTTCAAAAACAAAAAAAGATACTTCATTGAATTCCATGCAAACATTGCAACTGTCCTAATGGAACAAATAAATATTTGGGAAAGGGTATACTAAATACAAGACACCGAATATACCTAAAAATGCAACAACACTTTTTAAATAGAAGTAACTTAATCCCGAACATGTCATTTTGAAAAACAGAAATAATCAAATTTTTGAATATATACGATTTAAAAATAGTAACAACGCTGTAAATGGCAACAAAACAATATCTACTTTAAACAAAATTTAGCAATAATGTAGGAAATAATTTCGGTTGAAATTACACAACGAATTGTATACTGTTTCAAACTTCGTAGGGCTTTTGTTCTGTTAATATTCAATGATACAAAAAAAAACATAATGCTTTAAGTGATTTATTTCAGTAAGTTCAATATTGATCTATTATTGAAACTAAATTTATTATTGATACAAATAAATTATATCTTAGCTTTTCTTCAAATGCTGATAAAGAAAACTCGAAGGTATATTAAATCTAGTTATGTGGTATTTCCCCGGGTCCCTAATTTAATAAGTTTTTGTGCGCGAGTGGGAGACAAGGTCTGTTGCATTTTTTACGTGCGGGGAGTCATCTTTTTTTATGAAATATCTTTATATTTCCCATATAGTGCCGGAAATATGAGATTTTCGTGTTTTGCGGAAGGAACACCGATTTTACGGTTTTCTAGAACGGGTGTGCAGTTAAATATCATTCAGGGATTTCCTGTCAACAATCCAGTATTAAATCGGAATATTAATAACAGGGCAGTAAAAAAACAGCTTAAAAAGCCTCATGATTTACATGAATTGAACTCAGTGCAATCCTGGTCTAGAAATATAGTCAATTATCTCTTTATCACAATAATATAATGCTATTAGAAACTGTATTATTTTATAATAACTAGTATTATCACCATTATTATATCCACAAACTAGTACTATCCGATAAATAACAAGCAGATAAGTATATCCAGCCAGATTTCACAAAAATAATTATTAAAAATAGTATTTCTTTTAATATTGAATATTCTATACACTTTCTATTTTCTAGTTGACAGTTGTAGATCTTGGTCAACATAAAACAGCGTCAGGGATGGCTTGGAAATGTAAACGTATTCAACTGGTAAGTAAAATTATATGGGGAATGTCGTCGATCGTCACTTTCAAGCGTTTTTTCGATCATACGGTATTTCTATGGGATTTTTATATATTTTGTGAGTCAAAATATTACATTTACTGGAGACATCAGTGTAATTGTCAGTGTCAAAATACCTATATGACATAATATTCTTTCATAAATTTTGAAGATAATATATAAAATCATTCTATAAGACAGTATATATGCGCCAAGTTACAGATATTAAGACATTATTTGTGAGAGTTTGTAGAGTTTTTATATAAACATTTAGTTGATTGGAAAGGAAATAACACTGATATCGTTTAAGGTAAAAATACGTTTATTATATGCAAATTTTTAATTGATAATAAGTCGTGAGAATGAAAGTATTAATCGAAGATATTTCCTTAAATCTCAAAATATATTTCTTATAATAGGTTTTATTCTAAAAAAATAAAGATTTAATCAGGATATTTGGATGGATATTTGGATGGGCGAATTTCTGGAAAGATCCGTTGTTCCGATTTAGACACTCGTTATGAGTATGGTTTCCTCACTATGGTCTCCTCAGCTATTTAACGCTGATGACCGCGGTTCGGATTCCGCATAAAAAAATTAGGCCCCGTACAGATTTTTTCTGACGGTCACGAAAATACACTGACGAATACACTGTTACGAAAAATCGTCATCTTAAAATTTTAATGGAAATCTGCTGTAGATCAATTTTTCAAGCAGTTTTTAGCTAAACTATTTGACTGGTTAGATTTTTTTTATATTAAAAATTGAACTCCTAATCTGTCTGATATAGGAGTGATAACAAAATTTGCTATTTTGACAAAAAAAAATGACGATGAAAAAATCCTGTGAAATGGTTTACTAAGTAAAGCATATAAAAACGACTTTTCATCAAGGTGCACCTTGTTTCGGTAGTTTGTTTTTGATGATTGGCCTCAATAGCTTTTTTTGTTGGAGATATTCGCCTTTGAAGAAAACAGTAATCATTTACAGCAATTTTAGCATTGAAAGCATGGCTTTTGATCCTAATCAACACAACTAAAATAATAATTATTTTTTTTGTAATGTCACTTTAGGAAAAAGTATTTTTATAGCTGGTTGTCAGTTTCTTTAGCATCGATGCTTTTAAGTCCAGAAGTTCATAATACTAAGATATACTAATACTTTTCAATGACAGTGGCATTACAAAAAAATAAACGCTAGGTGTGTTGATAAAGACCAAAAACAGGCATATTTTTACTGCTAAAATTGCTGTAAATCGTTACTGTTTTCTTCTAAGCGAATAACTCCAAGCTTTTGAGATGATCTAAAAAGAAACTGTCGAGAAAATATACACCTAAATATAATAATAAATAACATAATAATAATAAAGAGGATTCAAAATTTCTTACTTTATTCAACCATTCCACAGGGATTTCAAATGTTCGTCAAAATAAGATAATTTTTTATTTTCCTAGCATAGTAGACAGAAAAAAAGGGGACTTCAAGATTGTATTTAAGGGGATACAAAAAATCAAATAATTTAGCTACAAATTGCTTAAAAATCATAAAAAGCGGTCCACTGAACAAAATATATTGCGCTTTAAAGTACATGAGTAGGAACATGGAGGTGAACCTTAAGCAGACGGAATATTGTACGTGTATCGGCGGTGAACAATAACTTAATTCTAGAAGAACAACAGTAGAAAATAAAACACTGCCAAAAAAATAAATATGTTGGCATTCTAACGATGGTAGCTTTGATGGAGAAATTAAGTTCAGAAACGACCACGGAAGACATGCAATGAGAAAACTCAACAAAATTCTATTGAATTAAGGCAATATCAAAAGAAAACAAACAAAAAATTTACAGCACAGTTAAAAGCATCATTAGTTATAATAGTGAAGTATGGCCTTTGAAAGAAAAAAAAATCTCAAATCACTCGAAGCTACAGAAATGGATTTTGGAGGCCGGGAATTGGATAGCGTAACAAATGAGAGAATTCAGCGGGCGTTCAATGCATGAATTCATAATTATAGGCGTTAAACACAGAATAACAAAAGACATCAAAATTAACCAACTTAAGTGGTACGGGCACATACAAAGAATGGAAGAGAGGCTAAGAGAGCAGAATCCCAAAGTAAGTACTCAATTGAACACCACAAGGCAAATGAAAGAGAGGGAGACCTAGATAGAGTTGGAAAGAAGGAATAGGCAGGGACATCAAAACAAGAGGAATAGACGAAAACATCTGGACAGACAGAGACCAATGGTAACTTGAAATCAGAAGACGGCGAAGAACGTTATGAACTGATTTGTATATACAAGTACGTGAATGGTTTAAGATGTTAAGGTTTTTTTGTTCATGCCGTTCAATGTACAAAAAATATTGATATATTATTTATAATACCACTCAACTTAAAGATAGTCATTGGTACAAATTATTTAACAGGTTTCCATCATAAAAGAAAATACCCAAATATCACGAATCTACGTAAATTTACTTATAATTCTAGCTATGCAGAAGCCACCATTAAACACACATAATATGAAATAAATGTTATGGGATTTCCATTTACCGAATCCCGCCGGCAGATTCCACATAATCGTTTCTAATTCTCAATAACCAACGATCGTAGTAAAATATAAAACAAAAAACTTGTTTATTCTACGTAATAATTTCACGCCAAATTGACCGTACCCTTGACACCATTATCTGGTTTCAGATACGAAAACGAGATTAATAATAAAATATAGAAAGGAAATCTTAGTTGCGGTCAAGTTAGTATAACGGACAACCAACGCCTTGAATGAAACTTTAGCATAATAGTAATTATATCGCTCTCACTTTTAGTCGGCAGCCGGTTGCAGTTCAAGAAACAAGTTTACTCGCCTGATATAGTGCGCTTTTACTTACCTGGTTCTACTGCAAATTCAAATACCGCATAAAATAAGGAAAATGGTAGCAGGACGCGTTCTAGTGTACGGTGGAAAAGGTGCGTTGGGTTCGAAGTGCATTGAAGAGTTCAAGAAGGTGAATTTTTGGGTGGCTAGTATCGACCTTGCCGGGAACGAGAGTGCTGATGTTAACGTGGCCGTGAATCTCCAGCAGAACTTCGTCGAGCAGGAGTCCGCTATTGTTAAGGCGGTGGGGGATGCCTTGAAGGAAGAAAAATTAGATGGAATATTTTGCGTTGCAGGTAACTAGAAACAATTACTACAGTTTAGGTATAGATAACCATTGTCTCTATATTATTTATATACAGGGTAGTCCAGATTGTACTCGGGAAACTTCGGCAGTATATTCTGCAGATAAAAATAAGTAAAAAAGATTGCACAAATTTATGTCATAAAATGCTTTGTTTGGCATCTGCCAAAGTAGCTACAGGAGGCAGAAGTTTCATTTTTATTTCGATTTTTTTCCAGTTTCTGAGCTAACATCGATATTTGGATGAAAATTGGTGTCTGGGTGTTTTTTGACATGAGAAATTCGATTTCAATGACTTTTACTTGTAAGGGGCGCCGCCTATACATATTTTTCGCTGTTTTGTAAGAGTAATAACTTTTTATCCGTACCTGTATTACACTACTGAGTAAAAAAATATACATTTCCGTCATTTCAAACATAAAAAAGTTTCTTGGGAAAAATCTCTACGAGTAAAATATTGAATATATGTCATTATTGACCAAAAAAATAAACTTGTTGACTGGATAGTTATTATTAGTCTCAATAAATTTAAAATATTTTTGTGCTAGAGATTGAACAGAAACTGTTTTCATAATCAGATTAAAAAAATAAAGTTTACAAATTTATCATTTTAGCTAAATAACTCTCTAATCAAAATGTTTTGTCAATAATGATTGTATTGACTATTTCCATTCCAAATATCTTGAAAACAGTTACTCGTAGCGATTTTTACTAAGAAACATTTTTTACGTAAAAAATTACGGAAATGTATATTTTTTCACTCATTAGTTTTATACAGGTACGGACGAAAAGCCATTACTCTTCAAATAAGTTAAAAAAATGTAGGTGGCGCCCCCTACAAGTAGGAGTCATATTGATGGAAATAAATCAAATTTCTCATGTCAAAACACACTCAAATGCCAATTTTCATTCAAATACCGACTTGTGTTTGCTAATAAATAATATGTTCAGTTAGGTCTGTTTCACGAGAGGGCCCATGACAGTGACAGTAGTTTCTGCCATTTCATGTTATTTAGTTTTTGCAAAGGAATTTTTACATGTTGTCTGTAGAAATCTTATCTTAAGCGGCCCTCACACGATCAATAATATTGTCAATGTTTTTTATTGTCAATATTTTATCAATATTTGAAAGTTGGCCTGACACGGTCAATACATATATCAATATTAAGTTTTGTGCAGATATTAAGTGTGAATTATACCATATGCCAAAAAATTAAAGATAAAAAAAGCGTGTCATTTTGGCAGTGAGTGTCAATCAGTGAGAAAAAATAGAGGAAAAAATTTAAGAAAAGGCGTTATATAAAAGATGGATATCTAAAAAGAAAAAGGTTCGGCCAACTAAATCTTCTAGAATACGTTAAGAAACGGAAGCCTGATGATTGCGATCTAAAACTGGTGAAAACAACGACGGCGATGTTCCGTCTTCCGCCATGGTTACGAATAAACTAGTCAAATTTTGTCAATCATGCGACCTAACGATCAATATATTGTCAATACGACTAGTCCCGCCTTTAATATTGTCGAGTATTTTCAGGATCCCGAAAATCCATCAATATATTGAAAGTATATCAATATGTACGCTCAAACGCTCAATAATATTGTCAATAATCCCAAGTATTGACAATATTATTGATCGTGTGAGGGCCGCTTTATACGTTGGACGGACTATAATTACATTTAGCCACTTTCACTAATTGTTTGTTTATTTCTTTCAAAAACTAAACCTCCTAAATTTTTGAGCATTTTTTAGTATTCACAGTCTGGTTTTCGCCTGGATTCTTATCCAGTGGAATTTTACAAGAAAAAAATACTTTTTGTTATTATTTTTCAATTTCAGCACCAAATGCCTACTTTACTATAATTAGTTTCAAAGAGTGCTCTCACCCTGTATATTATCAGGCTATTTTTAAACGTGTAATTATCATTACCTGCATTTTAAAGATTAAATCTCCAGGATTATTTGATACGGATTTTTTTTCTGATCTGTGTTACCCTGTATTATTTTGATTATAAAACTTCAACACTTTGAAGAACATTCAGAAATATTTTCATATCAATGTCTCCTAGACAAACATCAGTTGTGAAAAAAACAAATGTTCTAGATATTACAGTTGGGGGTTGGAATCTTTGGTATTACACAGCAAAATAAAACACTAAATCACCACAACACACCAAAACAGATAGATATACTAGATACCTGTAGATATACTAGATACATATAAAAAATAAATTACTATAATTTAGTATGATATTATCATTTTTCTAATAAAGGTTTTAGTAAGTTTTGCATTTTGTAAAAAAAAATATATGAAAACCCACCACATACATATGGCAGCTTTTCAGTTGCAATATATTCAAAATTTTTAATTTTCTTTGATGCAAAAAAGTGCACAGAACGATAAAACGTATAATGTTATTTATTCGTATACCTAATTATTTTATGGTAGCGGTTTCATTTAACCAGAGTCTTCAGCATTTATAACCATTAAATATATGTTGGTTATTAGTGGATTTAGAAAGATTATACCCTATTTTATGTTGCTTGTCACAATGACATAAAAAAGCAATTAACAGAATTTACTGACCAGAAAGACTTAGCAATCCCTAACAAAGCCTGTCTCTTCCAATTCTTTTTTACTAATCCCTCAAACACCAATCATAGTATAATGGTATTTATTTTATGTAAAAATAAAAATCCTAAATATAAATTGCATTTTACAATGCCCTTTGAGATAGGCATTTCACTAAAAAAAGTTGTAGATAATTTATCTAATATATTGTTGTTTTTACAAATCGACAGACAACCTTGCATTTTATAGGTCATTATATTCGGTAGGATTTACCTCTTTGTTATTTTTGGATGGTCATATAAACAAATTTAGACAATGAATAAAAAAATAACAATATAATTTTGTTATACAGGTGGATGGGCAGGTGGAAATGCATCAAAGGATTTAGCGAAGAATTCCGAAATGATGTGGAAGCAAAGTGTGTGTAGTAGCGTCATCGCTGCATCTTTAGCATCAAAATATCTGAAGGAAGGAGGAGTTTTGCAACTTACTGGAGCTAATGCGGCTTTACAAGGAACTCCAGGAATGATAGGATATGGTGAGGATACTTAAATTTTGTTTAAAGTATAGGATAGGCTCAGAATGTGGTTGAAACTGATTTACTATTGATACTAAAGGAACTTCGGAATACACTTGGATACTAAGGGTACCAAGGGTCAGTAATATAATATCTGAATAAAACGTTGCGTAAGTTAAAATAAATAAATATAATGTGGATGTCCGATTTTTTTAGTATCAATAGGAACGGCTATTAGAATACATCAACATTTTTGTATGTATTTCATTATTAACAATACGGTAGATGAAGTCGTTTGTGATGTTAACACTGGAGTACCTAATATTAATTTTGAATAATGTTATACAGGGTGGTCCGGATTGTAATGGAGAAACTTGGGCAACATATTCTGCAGATAAAAATAAGTCAGAAAGTTCGTCTAAATTTATGTTCTAAAATGCTTCCTTTTGGAAATACAGAATGTAGAAATTTAATTTTTATTTCGGTTTGTTCCAAATAATTTCTGAACTAACGTCCAGGTCTGGACACTTTTTGATATCAGAAATTCGATTTCTATGTCAATATGTCTCCTAGTTTTAAGGAGCTTTATGTTTTTAACTGTTTTGAAGAATTAAATTTTTGTCCGTATTTGTATTACACCACCGAAAACCGTTCTCGAGATATTTGGAATCGAAATAGATATGTCATATTTGAACTTAAAGAGAGTAACAAGTTTTTAGACACCAACACCAAATTTTCATCCAAATATCAACTTGGTTCAGAAATTATTTTGAAAAATAGACATAAAAATTACATTTCTGCACTCTGTGTCTCTAAAACGAAGCAATTTAGGACATAAATTTTTGTCCGTCTTTGTATTACACTACCGAAAACCGTTCTCGAGATATTTGGAATCGAAATAGACATGTCATATTTGAACTTAAATAGAGTAACAAGTTTTTAGGCACCAACACCAAATTTTCATCCAAATATCCACTTGGTTCCAAAATTATTTGGAAAAAACGAGATAAAAATGACATTTCTGCACTCTGTGTCTCTAAAACTAAGCAATTTAAGACATAAATTTATACGAAATTTTGTCTTTTTCTATAAAGTCAGTTCAGAACGTTGTACGACGTTTTCCGACACCTAAATTCCACTCTACCTCTCTACCTAGCCAAAGATCATCAGGTATTTCTCTCTTTTCCAGTTCTTTATCCACACCCTCCCTCCAATTCCATCGTGACCTTCCTCTTTTATTTCTGCCTCGCGATGTCCACAGTCAAATTTCTTTTGGTATTCTGTCATCGGGCATTCGTTGCACATGACCAAACCATATAAGTTGTTTTGTTCTTATGTCGTCTACAATTGTGTGTTCTGCTCCCATAATATCTCTTGTCTACTCTCTCGTTGGTTATTTTCTCTCTTTTCGATTTTCCAGCAGATCTCCTCCAGTAATCCATTTCGGTCGCTAATAGCATGTTCTCCGTTCTGCTTTTCATCTTTAGAAATTTCTTGGTCCCATAGTACACCATTCAGCATAGATATTGTCTTTTTGTTTGTTGTATTATTATTTTTATCTACAGAATATGCTGTCAAAGTTTCTCGATTACAATTCAGACCACACTGTATATTTTATTTTTTAAAACAGGAGAGAATAAATAGCCACAGATTGTTAAAATTATCTTGATTTAATTAAAAAATATTGTTTTTTTTTAATTTTTGCCGCTATATCAGAGTAATAAATATTTTTTTCTCAGTAACGATGCCGGTATATTAATGCCATTATATTTATATATTAATGATTTAAAAATATATATTTTTTCCAGGTTTGGCCAAAGCAGCTGTTCATCATCTGACCAGGTCTCTATCGAAAAAAGACAGCGGACTACCGGGCGATAGCAACGTCGTCGCCATATTGCCCATAACTTTAGATACGCCAATGAATAGAAAATGGATGCCCGACGCTGATTTTTCCACTTGGACGCCACTGGAATTTATAGCCGAATTATTCGTTAAATGGATCAAGAAGCAAGATCGTCTAACCAGCGGATCGCTGGTACAGCTAACGACCAAAGATTCGAAAACTGCCTTGACGGTGGCGAACAGCGATAAAAAGGATGGCGATTATTGTTATTTATGAATACTGTGGCGCTCAGCTTTGTGAATTATATGTATAAATATGTATATTTTAATTTAAATAAACCTTCAATTGATTTTTCAAACTGATTCGTTTATGTGTGGCTGAAAAAAGTGTGAGTGGATCGGGATGATTGTTTTTAATGGAACATCCTGTATTTTATTGAATTTTTGACTTTGCTTGCAGATCACTTTACATAATCCTAAGATATGAATAATTATATTTAGATAGTTTCAGAGATATTAATAAATAAAAGAAATATATTTTTCAGTCTTTCTAAAAAAAATATTAAAAATACAAGAATTTAAACTATATTAGGCATAACATCTAAACTATATTAGGCATTAACTTTATTCAACCATTTCCAAATATGGTGTAGCTTCCCTCGCATATTTAGATACTCTCTTTGTAGTTGGGCCCATTGTTGTCTATTGTTGTCAATGCGGGCATAGTTATCCCTGCTAATTTCCTAATATCATGGTCGCATCTCAGGGTTGGTTTTCCTCTAGGTCTCCTAATTCCTCGTGGGTACCATGCTGTAATTTTTGTGGCCCATCTGTTGTCCATCCTTCTTGTCAGGTATCCTGCCCATTGCCACTTGAGAGATTTGATTCTGTGGATTACTGTATATCTTGGATTAAATCTTTGTTGAATGCCTTGTTTCTTTTGATGTCGAATATCTTGGAATTTGATCTATCTATTAAATACTTAATAGGTTAGATATTTTAGGTCACAAGGACGTAGAATATTAGCTCACAGCCCTGATCTTAAGCAAGACATCTTATATTCCGTTTTCACTATAGTTTGAAGTATTTCGTGTGTATAGTAATATGAACAGAGGCGCTTAATTGGTATCCATTCCCAACATTTGTACAAAAACAAAACCGGCTTAAACTAAAGGACAAGTAAGAGAAAAAAGAAAATACTGTAATAATAGTCATATCTCAAAAGATCTTTCTAAGAAAATCTATATACCTAGAAAAGCATTATACAAATGGTTTACCTTTTCAGATATATCTGTTTTACAAAAGGGAGAATCCTTGGATTCAAAGCGAAACTGTTGTTATTTTATTTCAAATAGAACGCATCTAGAGTAAGGTTAGCTTTTTTTATGTGTTCAATGCCACTACATTAATGAAGAATTATTTCAAGGTAAATACGAATTATTTAATTTTATTGTAATAACCTTAATTTACTAAGACCTTTGGTTGTACAGGGTCTGCTCAAAATGCACTGCCAAATTTACGGAGTGATTTCTCATCAGGTCCGGAAATGGGTATTTGAAAGATACAGAATGTTATTATACAGGGTGTCCCAGAAATCAGCGTAAGGATTTTATGGGGTGGTAGATCTGGCTAAAAGAAACATATTTTCCCTTTAATTTTTTTAAGATAAATTGATAATAACCCACTTATTTAACTTTAAAAATTTTAAAAATAATGGCAACATTTTGACAGCCGCCGGCAGCAATCGATAATCACCTGTAAATACCAAACAATTACCAGAATCTCAGTTTGTTCGACGCCCAGTGTTGACACATCGACTAGAAAGATTTAAAAACGATTTATTTTACGGAAAATTCACACTTACACGTGTAATTGACACATAATACACTCATATACCATCTGAATTATTTAGGATTATTTTTTGAGAATAACCCCTCTGTTTTTCTGTCTCACACTCTTGTTCTTGTGAATAAAGACCAAAATAATTGATATTTCTATTTGAATAATTAAATCATTTTTACAGACCTACCTTACATTTGCCTATTTTTTTAGGTTAGTCATAGGTTTACTGTTTCGAGTAAAATCTGAAATAAATTTGGTAACTTAAAAATTCCATCAGCTGATCTGTATGAATGTAGGTCAAACGTTGACTATTTATAATTTAAGTTTACTAAACTGTAAAAAAGATATTTAAAATATAGTAGAGGTTGCACTAAACTTAATAGTAATCTACAATGATTAAAAAGTCTATAGTGAATAAAATTAATTTAAGTTTTTTTTGGAGAAATTTAAAAATGTGAACTTATAAACATACATAATGTGGATAACGTAGGAGGTAGCAACATTGCATTCCCTGGAAGCACTATAAATACATTTCCGGAAACTGAACAAGCGGCACTCAAAAGTTTTTCAATATTTTCCAGAAAATATCAAGCAAAATTCAAAAATTTCAGTCTACCAGTTAAAATGCTTGAACTTATTTCTCTAAAAAACTCAGTGGCGTAATTTACAAGGCACACCTTATCGAAAATTATTCGGAAAAAATGTGCGCCACTGACTTTTTGCAATATTTATATATTTTAGATTCAACAACTAAAAATACTTTTTTTTTTGTTCCATATGCCTTTCTAGAACTGTTTTCGAGAAAATAATATGTGTCAGGTGTCATAACCCCATTAAAAAACATTAAAATTTTAAATTTGCCAACTAGAGTAAAGTAGATACTAACATACTTGATAACAAATTAGAATTTATAACATTTATGTTCGGTGATGCCTATAGCAAATTAAAAAGAAACAACGGTTTTTAAGATAATTGCAAAAACATCATGTATACAGGAAATTTTTTAAGTTTTTTGATGAGGAATTACCTCTTTAAATTTGGCAGTGCATTTTTCATTCACCCAAACTATAGGTACAGTAGTTCCTTTAATCCTTCAAATCTAATTAACTATTCTTTAACTCGAAGAAAAAACCTTCTATTTCAATTGCAGAAAAAAAAAATAGATATTCCTTACACTTTAATTTTAAATGTTTATTAACATATCTAAAGGTCTTCTTCGTCACGACTTCCATTTACAATCCGGATAATCCGATAGTAATCTTACAATAACAAGTGATCGTATAAAAAACATAAACCTATAGAAAATAAACATGACTTCGACAGCCTTGGTAAGTTGATAATGATGGAACTTAAAAGCAGCCGTAAATATTTCAACTAAACAAGACGAATTGGAAAACGCCAAATATATCTTTCGGTTAAAATACCTTTTAAAATATTAAGCTGCCCGCAGTCTCGTTCTAGATAACTCTATCGACCAACTCGTTAAAATATATTTACGGGGAATTTTTATGCTTTTACCTTAATAGATGTGACTATGTTCGAACAAGTTTAAAAAATGTAGTAAACGTAAATGCATTTATGATAAGTTTTGGTTTCATTACATTCTTATAACAATTTATTAAAATAGTTTGTATTTGATTAATCCGCAAAATTAGATAAAACTGCTATAAAATATTACTTAACGATAGAAAAAAAAATATGAGTAAGTATACATACTTCTTAGGTAATAGATGTCTTCCACAGAGTTAAATCCCTCAAATGGCAATGAGCAGGACACCTGGCAAGAAATACGGACTACAGATGGACCACAAAAATTACAGCATGGTACCCACGAGAAATCATTTTTTTTTTATAGATGGGAAACGCCATTTACAGCCAGAGTATGGGGGTCACCTCTCACCCGAGTCATACCCACTAAAAACTCATCTGTAGAGTTACCTCTCCAATCTCTGAACCGCCTTGCGGCATTACTTCAAGACTGGAGATTGTTTCGCCACTTATGTTTGTGTCTGCCAAATTTTTATCTTTTCATCTTCCTGTTTTTAAGCATGATGGCTCTCATCATCCTGGTGATTGCTTCACAGTTCTCTCTATTTTCCATCATAAGCTCGCCGACATTTTCCCTTGTTATTTTAACCTTACATATTTGTTCCGCCGATGCTCTAATCTCCAAATGCCTACTACACTCGAATAATGTGTGATTGGCCGTGTCTGATGCTTTACAATACCAGCATTTTGTGGATTCCGCCTTAGTTATTCCAAACAGGTACTCTCCAAAAGCATCGTGCCCTGTCATCGCCTGGGTGATGTAGTAGTCCGTTTTCGTCCACGTGTTGTTTATCCAAACCCTCACGTCCGGGATAAATATCTTAATTCGACCCTGGTATACCTCCCATCTGTTCTGCCATTTGTCCAGTATTATCTTCCTGGCCTCTGATCGATACCCTGAGCCGTGCCTGTATATTAAATTTCTTTCCTCGACTTGTAGGATAATTGGGGGATTTTTGCTAGAGCGAGAACAGCTTCTGTGGAAACGATACGCCGACACTACGCGTAGGGCTAGCATTCTGTTAATTTTTTCGAGGACTTTTTCATAGTATTTATAGTCTGTTGCCCTGCTCCAAATGGGCGAGGCGTACAGGATCATCGAATGCACAACCGAGGCAAGCATTCTCCTCTTTCCGTCACTGGGGCCTCTAATATTGGGAGTGATTCTGGTCAGCTGTTTGATGGTATCAACCGTCCTGTCCCTGATTTTAAGGACATGTGTAGTCATGCGCATCCCGGAATCAAGCCAAACGCCCATATATTTTATTGCATTTTGAGGTCTGATGTGGCAATTTCCCAATTGGATATTTAAGTTCGTCGTCTTGCGATGTCCTACCAGAACGACTAGTTCTGATTTTTCTGGTGCCAGATGTATGTCCATTCTATCCAACTTATTGGTTACCCACGAGCAATCAAGAGACCTAGAAGTAGACCAAACTTGAGATGAGGTATGATATTAGAAAATTAGCAGGAATAACTTGGGCCCGCACAGCCAACAATAGGCAACAATGGGCCCAACTACAAAGAGAGTATCTAAATATGTGAGGGAGGGTACACCATAATTGGAAATGGTTGAATAAAAAGATTGACTTCTGAATAAAAATTACTAGGGACCATAAAAAATATAGGAGAAAAGGAAAAGGAGATTAGGTACGATAAATTTCGCCATTTTTATCAAATCTGATCAACATTTTTGTAAAAAAATATTCATAATATACCTGGATTAAGGAAACAGTCTAACATTATTTATATACCGCGTGAGTCTTAAATAAGTACAATTTTTTTCAAGGCTAGTAGACCTAGATAAAAGAAATATATTGTCCCTTTGTGGTATTTCAGATACATCTAAAATAACCCAGGTATATTATAGTTTGAAAATTTAAAATAAATATGTTTTTTGCTTAAAATTTGAAAACCACTAGATTTTTCTGTCAAACCAAACCAAACCAAACCTACTACCTATGTTGTT